TAAATTAACTTCTTTCCATTATGATAAAAGAAAGTTGATGGGTTTTTTCACCAAGTTGAGCAATTGAAATACCAGACAGAAGGTCATTATCCACTAGTTGCCCAAGGACAGGATGTGGTCTGTCTTTTGAAAAGAAATATGAAATAAAAGTTTATCAGAATGGTATTCAGATCTAAATGGATGGCTTTGGCACAGGGTTAGGGTTTTGTCATCACAGGGCTTGGCCGTATGAAGTTCAAGACCTTTTCCATTTTAGCAACATTTTAACCAAAAAAGTATCTCAAGTCTATGGTATTTTTTGAGGAAAAACTGTTCCATCCTGTTTGCATACATGAAATCTATAATTATCTTGAGAAAATTTTGTTTGACTGACTTTGTTTGACTGACTTTGATATCCCTGCCTATTCAGTAAAAAATGTGATTTCAGAGGTCAAAAATCTCTTAGGCTCTTTTGCTGTGTGTCATTGTTCACCACAGTCTTTACAAAAGTTGTCCAACTTTTAGACCCAGGTAGTAGACACTTAATTGCAATCGCCCTTCACTATGCATTGCTTCTGTTCATCTTATATCCCCTACACTTATTATCATCAAAATTAACAGCAGACTGTATAGCAAAAGGTGATTGCAATCAAGTGTCTGTTTCTTGAAGTTCAGACTTAAAACGATTTTGTTAAAAACATGCCTGAACACAGTTTCTGAGTCTGGAACACGGTGATATTTGTTGGCTGTGGTTTTGGACCCACACGCCTCCAAGGGAAAGTGGGCTCAGATTAGATTTCTTGCACAATAGCTGCTATTTTTCTGTTTGAGATTTTTTAACAAAGGGAATTGAATTTAAATATTGCCCACAGCCAAAGCCTTTATATGCTTGGTGATGTGGAATTTCAAATTGGGGGTAAATTTTCATGTGTTTTGACTGCATAGTCATAAAAAGATCAGTGTTGACTGAAAACTTAGACTAGTTTATAAGAACTTGCTGACTGTTCTTGTGTCCTGTACTGCATAAAGCTAGTTCACATCGATCTCTGCATGTAGACGTTTTTAAAAGAAGAAGAAAAAAAAAAGGAAAACAGAAGTTATTAATGATAGATACAATAAGAAAATAAGATTGGGTTCTTCTGAAGATATTTAGTATGGGTCTGGTTAATACCAAGTTGTTTCATGGACTAACTGATCCACAGATCAAATATGGCGCACACTTGACAATGGATTCCCTGCCTCCCATGTGTGCAGGGGCAGAGCAATTAAATTTCTACATGCTTCCAAGTGTGTTGCACCATAGTTGATCTCGGCTTAGTTAGTCGGCGGATCTACTTGGTTCTATGATGAAAAGAGATAATATTAACCTCAAGAATGATAAATCAATCTTGTGTATCAATCTTGTTTAGTCTGTGAGCCATTCGCATCATTATAAGTGATGTCGTGAGATGGCTTGTTTCTGAATTCATACCAGCAGTTATGGTTTGTAACCTACTGTATGAATCATTCTTGTTTATATATTGTGATAATTCATAATTGTGGAACTGAAAACTAGTATGGCATCTTGATGAAATTTAGTGAAATATTTTTAGTTATTATGATAATAAGAAAATACATGCTCAGGACAAAGCTTGTGCTTGAAGTAAAATATTTATTCTTTTCTTGAATCAAATGGTATTTATTTCCACTGATTATGTAAATGTATAGATATTAAATAACATTGACAAGTTTTTTTCCTGTTTTTGTCAAACCCTGTGAATTGTAATTATTCATATGAACAGCTGTACTTATCACATAACAGTTGAATCATTATCTGCAGACAAAAATGCAGTAATCATCGAAGTGATTTATTTTGATCTTCTTTTCTTCGATTGATATTTAGTTTTTTCATGCAGAGGAATAAAGCAATGGAATTATCTTAAAGGCAGTTCCGGACTTTTAGCTAGATTACTTCCTATTAACGTCAATAGGATGAGTGTTGAATTGCAAGCATTTGGTCACATCCTCATTACATTATGTCTTTCAGGATCTGTAAGTGGATTAAGAGCTGTGTCTTTGTATATTTCCTAGAATTTCTGAGAAGCCATTGCAATTTGAGTTTTTATTCGGACACTAAAAGGTTTCTGTCAAGCACATTCTTGGTGAAGAGGGTGATTTGTTGAAAGTTATTTTACGTCATTATGTATAAAAAAAAGACAACTAGAAAAAAGTATGTATTAGCCTTAAATGAACTATAAAATAAATTTGTTGAAACTGTGATTCTCTATATGTTCAAATAAAACTATTGTTTTTTAATTTGAAAAAAAAATGTGAATGAAATAAATGTCAGCCTACAATAATCAATACAAAATTATGAAAGAGACTTTAAAAAAAGAAAGATATTATTATATATAAGTAGTCTCTCTATAAAAGAATTCTCACTTTTAATGAGGAACATTACTCAGAGCCTGTAGAGTACACAGCATATGGTCTTAAACATATATCAGTTTTCCCAGCTGGGCTCTGTTGAGAAAATTAGCAGAGATTGATTAATGAACAATATGCTAATGAGCAGCACTATCGCAAGAAAAATGGCGCAAAATTACCCAACACCTGTCACATTGTTTCGAAGCAGAGATTATGAGTGTTTGTGAGTGATTTTATGTGCGCTTTATGTGCTTAAAGTAAAACTTGATATTTTAAATGTGCAATGGATGTTAGATGAAAGTAAATGCGAACTAAGCAACTCTCTCTCTCTCTCTCTCTCTCTCAGAGAGAATATCAGATGAATGAGAGAGGTGAAATGGAACAGATGGGAAATGAACAAGAACATGAAATCAACAAGAACATGCAACTGACATCTTTGAGAAATGAACAAAAGAAAGGAACATGAAAAATTAACAAGTCTCTAAGGACAGCAAAATTGCCGTGTTATCTTCACAAATAAGAAAGAAGTGATTAAGAAGGAAATTGAAAAATTACATTTTTCGCTCTGACGTTAATAAATGTTGTCCTGACGAAAAGTTACTCTGTTCAGATTTCTCATATACTGTCCCAAGGAAATCAATAGAGAACACATTCATTTTGCTAAGTGAGATAATATATTATGCTGGTGAATGATCCCGAATACATTAACAGGACAAGAAGGATCTTTTCGTTTAAGAGACAGGATCATTATGGATATATTCACAAGCTTGGAAGGGTTGCATGATGCACATATCATTAATCTATAATTAATCCTAAGAACCTCTCTGGTAATTAAATACACATAATTACGATGAGATACCTAATGAAGTGTGGCCCTGATAAATGAGATGTTTTGCCTTTATTGGATTTTCTCCCTTCTTGAATAAAATTTTATCAAAGATGGTAAACAAAAGAATTTGGGATTATTCTTCTAATTAGGAACCTGGTCAATCGAATATGTATGATTAATTACTGATTCATTGTTGATGAATATGTAAATGTTGGCCCTAATTTTATGAGATTTTGAATGAATTAGAATATATGAGAGAACAGCTTCATTTGCATTAGTTATAAATATATTTAGTCAACGGGTCCCAGTCAATGTTAAAATATGAATAAATAATATTTTTGATAAGAGCAGTTTCTCCATGATAAAATTGGCTTGAAGCTTCAGAAATATTAGAGCTTTAACTTCAATATCTCTTGATAAGAAGAATATGAATTCATCTGAATTAAGGGATTATCAGTTAAGTTGCCTGAAAAATGAAATTGACACATTATGATATAGGCATGTTTTCATTTCTTGAAGTTTGCATCAAATGAATCTCACGAAAATGCACATATATCTTAATGTTTATAGTGGTGTATAATAGTAACATTCAGCGTAAAGAAATTATTGACCACCTTTAATATGTGGTCATATTCAACCAATTAAATATGACCTCAACTTTTGAAAAATCTGCTAAATGCAGCGCAGTCTTTTCCATTAAATATCCAATGCAGAAGGATAAGTGAAATACAGACTACTTACTTTAAGACAACTGGGTTGGTTTCAATTTCTTGTAACTTAGAATAAGGCACTGAGATGGAATAGATTATCAGGGAGAGGATATATACACTAACAGCAGTGTTCTCAAGGATTATTACACAGAGTGACTAATGTTAACACATGTTTTAGCAAGAAAAAGGCTAACTCCCTCTCCTGTTTGGACTAAAAGACTGGGGCCTGTTTCATAGTTTAAGAACTTTAGCCCTAAGATTGGTCTAAACTTAAAGCCAGAAATTTTAAATTGTAGTTCAGTTATAAATATTAAATATTATGTACACCTTTTCATCTCAAGAAAGACATGGCTTATGTTTCTGACCACTGCTAAATTTCAGACAGTGGACTGCCTTCAGTTGAATTTTAACCAAAGATAATTCAAGTTTTGTCTAAAAGTTAAGAAAAAAATTTAGGCTACAGTTTTAATTTTTTTTTAAACTGACCTCTGGTGTTTCTGCTGTAAATGTTACCCAAATAGAAAATGTGGGCATTGTTTTAATTTATGATCAGATGTTGATAAACACCCCATTGTAAATTCATACTCCAAATATCAGCTACGTGCAGTCACACACTTGTTCCCAAAATCACTTGATTCATGACAAATATAGCTTCTTCCAAGAAGGTTAAAACAAAAATATTATCGGTAGAGCATAATGAAAGGGAAAGTCAGAGAGTGAGACTTTTAAGGACCTTGTGATAAAAGGACGAATTTATGACATTGCTTACAAGCACTAAAAAGTATGAATTGTAAAAGAGAACAACTTGGATGTAAGCTGAAGGTAGGATTTCTCTCTCTCTCTCTCTCTCTCTCTCTATATATATATATATATATATAAGTCATGCTTAGAAGAATTTTAAAATGCTGTAAACTAAAAGAGGGGAAATGAAGAAACCGGTTAAGAGGATAAGGATAAGTAAACTGGATTGGTAAGGTAATCCAATCATTTGGCGAAGACTTCAGTATTAGCTCATTAACTTCCAGTGTGACATGCATGGTCAGTTGATTGGGGGGGGCGGGGGGGGGGGGGGCTTGTAGATATTTTGTCAAGTGATAAACAATTGCAATAAAAACAATTTCAATTAAAATTCCTGCCAAGATTTTTATAAATAAGGAAGTAGGTTTTTCTTAGGACTACATGTACTCAGTCAGGGCCTTCCTTTTGATGAAATGGTTTAGCATGGATATTGAACTTAACAACAAAAGCAGCTACTAGTACAGGGTCCTAGCATATCTAAATGGGGCCTGACAACATGGATATTTAATGTCCCTATATTATAAACCTCAGTCCTACCACTTGAGGGAGGCCAACGCATTAACATAAGAATGCGTGGAATTAAACTCCAGACATTTTTTGTGACCCAGTTTAAGAAGGGGTGGCTGAGCACACATCTCAGTGGTGTTCCTTTTGGTCGGTGATTCACAATTTTTATATGTGTCAGCGTGTAATCGTACAGTGTCAGTTAGAAGAAGACTAGCCTAGTGGAAAGAACCACTTGTAATCACTTGTGGAATTGAGTTCAGTAGTGTGATGTGTATATAAAAGAGAGACGGGTGCCTTCAGACAATTCGGAACCTACAACATTAGGTGTGGGATGCTACATGAGTTTTATCGCTTAATAACAGTGTGAGCCGTGCTGCTCATAGGGATATAGGAAAGAGAGGCTGAGATGTGGACAACAAAGACTGAATGGAAAACTCTTCACATTTTTTTCACTGTTGAGGAATGGTTTTGAAATATTTGGATACTTTGAAGATTGGGTCTCTGTGATAAATGAGTGAGAACTGAGAGTTTGGAGAGAATTTTCAGTTATATCGATATTGACTTGATCTGTTTGGATGTGTAGAAGACTTGATTCATAAGCACTGTGAAAAAAAAAAATAACTGACAATATTGTGATCTTCACCTTTTTCTGAATGGTGTTACCATGTTCTATTTGAATCTGCAGCAGGTCTCTAAGTTGTGAGAAAAGTTCCTGATTTTTACCATTTTTGAATGATATACAATATCCTTATGGAATGTGTAGGAGATCCAACCAATTAAAAAAACTTCCCTTCTGAAATAATACAAGTTGGAATCCCCAATCCTTAGAACTCCTCTACAAAGTCAAAGTCAAGTCTTTTTTGTGTCAGGTGAGAGACATTTTAGGGTCAGTAGAACTGAGGTATTCGCACTGTTAGAAAGGCAAAGGTGTGAGGGACTGAAAAGAAGTATGACAAAAGTGGAGCCTAGCTGCATCATGCTGATCTGATACAGAGAACCACAGTGACTGGATTAAGATATATCACAGTTATAAGATAATCCACAGAAAACAGGAAGGAAGCTAACCTGTTTAAAAGACGCAACGGATATATGTCAGAAACACCATTTTTTGTCCAGAGATAGCTGTTTTGACCACAGTGACCATTTTTTGACCACCAGCCGGATTTGTCTGACACTACTTCCTATGCAGCAGATATTTTCGGGGACCTTCTCAAAATGTGGAGCATTAAGTACATCTCAGTGTAACGTCGGGGATAACAGCTGTATTTAGATTACCATAGTGTTAACTTGTGTATACAAAGTAATACAGGGTAACAAAACAGAGACATTTGGAAAATGACAGTAAAGGTAAGATATTAATATACTTAGCTAGTAGACATTTAAAGTTAACCATTATATGCAGAAAAAATGCAAGTGATAGAAGGCATCGAAGGATGGAAAAGGGAAACGTGGAGGAAACAGATGTGTGTTTGTGTGTGTGTGTGTGTGTGTGTGTGTGTTTGAGAGAGAAAGTTGAAAGAAACTTGGATTTCCGTAGAGCGCAATTCTAAATTCCACCAGATAGAATTCATATCCAAAGTGTAAAATCTGTCAAGAATCAAAAGGTAATATTGCATTCATTAGGGTTAGTTAGTATCTCTTTCTGTCACTACAGTAATTCAGTGATGATACTGATATTGGTCCTAATATTAATGTAGGCCATTCCACCGTAGTTGTTCACAGCCAACGTTGTGCAGTAAAAGTTTAAGCGGTCAAGCCATCCTGTCCCTGTTTGATATGCACTGATAAGGGAGAATTAAAAATAGCAGGAAACATATGTGTTTGTTTAACAAGTACTAGTATATACAGTGTATACTGGTCTGATCAGATAACAATTGTTCATATATTAAATTATTTTAATGANACCACGGAATGGCCCTGAAACAAAATGAGGTAAGCTTGAATGAAACTAAATTAAGTGAAATAAAAGAAAAGAGAATAAAAACTGAGATGAGGTTTAAAATTTAAGGGTAGACTAGTTGTTTGAATGTTTCATTTAGTTCTTGTTAGTAGGGGTTTTCTTTTGTGCTTTGTGATGCTCCTTTAATGCAAGTGTAATAGATACCCCAAGATTGTTAAATTTGTCTTGGGTTTACTGCATTTCTGAAAAATCCTTACATCACCTTTATATATGCAGTTATAGACTTAAATATGTAGTATTGCAAATGAAATGATAGCCCTGGTAGGTTATATAGAGTTAAATAATTACAAGAACAGTTACTGGATGAGTGGGCAGAGGATGCTAATAAGCAGTATCAAATTGATGAAAGGTTTTGAAACTGAGAACCAGCTCAGTGAAACTTGTTTGCCTGAAGCATTATATGTGATCTGACAGGGGTTAGACCTGAACTCCGTATTCACAGAATACGAAATAATTGAAGTCAAAGGTTGGTCTTTCCTTTGAGACAGATAATGTTGGTCTTTTTGGATTATTTTAGTCCAGAATATTACATCCATATAGCAGTCTTCGGGAAGTTCTATCAGCCTCGAACATAAGCCATGGCTTACTTTTTTGTGAATCAGTCCCGATTTTCTCATTTGACTGGGCTTGACAAATGGTATTTGACTTGGGTCAAAATTGACTCAATCACCTTGAGAATACTTGGTTGACGAACCAATATTTTTCTGAGTAATACCAAGGCTTATTCTGTTACAAGATTTCTTGGAATGGTCACCAAGTCATGAATTGCTGGGGGACAACAGTTCGTTTCATAACCAGGGTTTGACTGTCACATGGAGACAAGGGATGGATCAGGACTAACACAACCCTGGTAAAAACATTGCAAAAAGTTGAAGATTTTTTTTTTCAAGAGTGGCTATAATGACAAGGGATGACAAAAAACACAGATTACTGCACAGTCATCCAGGCTCTTTTATTGAAGTATATACGGTACTGACACATGGATGTGCACATGTGTGCACACAAACACACACATGCACACATACGTCATTATCATCATCATCATCCCACGAAGTTTACACAAATCCCAACTGTATTGACAAGATTTAAATCACATTTACACCCTTAAAATAAACAATCATGGGCATTACTCACATATTTTTCATGTAACATTACTCTGCACTGCATGAATCTCATCCTCCTCTAAAGTCCACACCCTGTATTACATGACATACAAGCACAGATAACATCAGATGATATTGTGATAAGAGGCAGGGGGAGGACAGGGATGGGTGGTAGGGGACACAGGGTACTGGTACAGGGAGAAGAGAGGTAGTCTAAGGTATAGTTCTGGAGGTGTTTGATGTGGTTGATGTTACCTAAGATGACATTGTGATAGTAACTGGTTTATTATCCCTGTGTGACATGGTGGTTATTACTTTTCTGGCCTTGTTCACTTTAAGAATTAACTTGGATTCAACATTGACTAAATTGATACCATCCAGTAATTAGACAACTATATTTGTGTAATATTTTGGCTAAGGCTAGGCTTAAAGATGTTGGTCTAAATATTAAAACACAGTGAAATTCCCTGTGAAAGCTTACAGTAATTTTTAACTGTTATCTAGAGTTTTAACTTGCTCTATAAGTCTATGTTTTAAGTTCGTCTCAGTGTGAACACAGCCATAGATGGACAGCGGTCAGTTTCATGTCTTTAGGGATAGGTCATGTCCGTTGAAGACATAATGACCACTTTATTTTCTAACTTCCGGCCACTAACTGTCCGCTTCTGGACATTGTCACGTCATTGGCAGACATTTAGAGATTTTAGATAATTTTTATGGGGATGAAAGAACATGCTGAGTAGTGTTCCTTAAGGGTAGGCATTTGTATAAAAATTATGATATTTGGGGGGAAAAAAAGGAAGCCATGAAATATATTGAAGTGCATCAATGTAAAAGCAATTACATTTATGTGTTGAGTCATCCGTGAATGGTGCTGTCTAACATAAGCCTTACATTGCTGCTAATTCCAAATGACATAATGCAATTACTGTGTATTTTTTTTCTGCCCAATCGACAAGATACTGGGCAGGAAAAAAATCAATAAGAAAATGGTATCTGCAACGAGCAGGCATACTGTCCCATGCTTCAGTTCACATTGACTTTTTTCAGGAGGGATGATTTAGTGGAGATATTTCCAGTAGTATTTGCGCATGTCATTTACCTCAAATGTGCTTTAAGATGAATGGTTGTGTGTCGGCTTTTGATGGGAGATTTACAGATGTTTCATGATGGAAAAACTGTTATTTTCTAATGATAAAATGTAGCTGGTCAAAATAGTGAATAGTTTGAATCCAAATGCATTATTCGATTAGTTATTTCTCGACTGGTCAAATTGGTCAATTTCACAAAATGCATCATTCATTGAGTGAATAAAGAAAATAAGGTGCAATACTGAATAGAAAAAAAAAAAGAATAAAAGATATTAATTTAAATAATAATGATAAAAGTACTCATAGTTATATGTTAACTATCAGATGACTTAGAAAATGCCCTTACTTCTCATGTACAACTTAACTTGTGTGTACTCTGTCTCTCACAGTAAAAAAAAAAAAAATAATAATCCAGGATTATTGAAGACATCAACTTTCATGCAAAAAGACACCATAATAGGCAGATGTAGGATTTTAAAATGTCAAGACAATTCTGTTAAGATCACAAGAGCAGTGTTAAATAATGAACTCATCTCTGTCTTACATATTCTGTATCAAATATCTGATATTTTCTGCAGTACTTTGGGATCATATTTCAACGCTCTGTGTGACATTTTCCTCTATTAATGACAGGGTGGTCTAGTGTCTGTCAGCTGCAAAAGGCAAAATAGACAGCTGTCTATCAAATGGTGTGCAAATCCTTTATTATTGTCCATTAGTCAGAATTAAATCCAAATCTCCTATATTGTCAACAACTTTCTTTTATAAATGGAGTAAAAGCTTGATTTGAAAAAAAAGTCGTGCTATATATTTCTGCTTCTGTTTGTTTCATAAAGAAGCTTTGAAGGTGTGTTAAAAATTTTAGAATTTAATGACCAAGATTAGGAAAAGGTTTTCTTAAATCTTCTTTGTTCCTAGACAGAGATTTTGAAAATAATTTTGAATTCATTCTCACTGAGAGCTTTTCATTAGATTCACATTCACTTCTCTTTCCATCCATTCCACCCCCCCCCCCCCTCCCCTAAAAATTTTAGATTAAAGATTCCATAATTTTATACTTACAGCATTGTCTGGCCAAAGCTTTGTATGACAACATTGCCGAGACACCAGAGGAGCTAGCGTTCCGCAGGGGCGATGTTCTCACCATTCTGGAGAAGGACACCAATGGTTTGGAGGGCTGGTGGCTTTGTGGACTCAGAGGCAAGCAGGGGATCGCCCCGGGGAATAGACTTAAACCCTTGATGGGGATGCAGGAATCAAGTATATATGATGCCCCACCCAGCCAGAAGGGGAAGGAAGAGACACAGCAGCAGACACAGTGGAACAGAAGGAGTTGGGATGTTTTACCTGATAAGGTAAGTTGTGGTACTTGTATGTGCTGGAGATGTGTGCTTTTTTGTTTGTGGCGAGGTGTCAGTTCCATGGTCTTAGCTTTTGGACCAAGATTTGGACTTAAGATAGATCAAATGAAATCAATGTAGAATAAATATTACCTTTGTTTTATAGAGGGAGGAAATGGCTTACGTTTTAGAGCAGCAGATATTATATTTTGGTGGACTATTGCAAATTTGTTTGGTATTGATGTAGATCTCAATTATTGGAGCTGAATGTTAAGACCATCTTTCAACGTCAAGATCTGATGAAAAAATGGGCCCCTTATCACCAAAGCAGAAATGTGCTAGTCTTAATTGACAAGTGCATGTGCATTTATGTGCTTGTGCATGTGTGTGTGTGTGTGTGTGTGTGTGTTTATATATATTTACTGGGATATATATCATGAACTTGTGCTAATGTGTATTTGCAGGCATCTGTATGTGAATGAATATGTTCACATGTGTGTTTTCAGCTGTGTGTGGAAATCCCCACATTTTCTCACATGGCTCCATAGTACCTTTACACCTGAAATACTCACAGTTGACTTTTCCATATAAGGCTGTGTTCTACACCATTTCGAGTAAAACATTGTCGGGCTGACTTCAGGAAGTGGATATTTTGAGTGGATTTCCCAGGGTCTCCCTTGGGGTCTAGCTTATGTCATCCCTCAGTTACCACCCCTCTCTCTCCCTATTGTTTTGACAGCGAAACTTGAAGTAGGAAGGAAAGATGAAAATAGGCTGTCTATTTCCTTTTGTAAGACTAAAACAGATTTTGATATACACAGTGCTGGACTTGGCCTTAGTTGTAGAAAGGGAGTGTGAGCAATTTCACACTGTATACATGGAAGTTGTGCCTGTGTGTTTAGGCAATGGAAAGTGATTCTGGAAACCAAACAGTAAACAGAGCAAAGGGAGCTGATTCATACCTGAGACTCCCTAGAGTTACCTGTGATTCACCTGCCTATCATTAATTCCGTGTAGAAAATATTACCTTTTCACCTGTGAAATGCATGCACGTGGTGCATCTCTTTTCATGTTTTAATGGAGAAATAAGGAGGCCTTTTACATGGATCAGCTTCTTTGCAATCCCATTTTGCAACAGATTTTTTTTTTTCATGGGAGGCTTGGGGGAGGGAGGAGTATTTCCTTGAAATGTGTTGAACCTACAGCATGTTGTAAAAATCAACCAGGTACTCATTTCAATCAACTCTTTAAAAAAATGATCTGTTCACTCAACATCAAACAGGACCGAAGTGGGATCAGATTATCAGGCCACTGAAGCATGTCCCGCTCTAAATCTCCAACTGTGTGAATTCATCTTAACTGATATTTTCCTGTTTTAGTGGGGCTGGGGGATGATTAATGTATCTCAATCTCCTTTACCTTGGCTCCCAAATTAGCTTAGTTTGAAAACTTGGCAAGTGATGGCAATAGACAAAGTGATAACTTTTGGCAGAGGTGTTATTTTGGCGCTGTCTGCAACTTAATTTTTTTCGCTGTAACTAATTTGGCACATTGAAATCAATCTCTGTACTTTTCACACAAAGAGAAAAGTCAAAAAGAGGGAGGAAAGGTTTTTAACAAAATGAATTGAAAGACTTCAAGTTTGGCTGTAACTGTATGTCAGATTTATGTTGTATGCTTTTGTTTCAGATATGTGTTTAGAGGGTGTTGACTTTCTTCCAAATTTGTTTTTAAAAAAGGCAGTTTATGACATCTGAATATATGTATTTGAGAATGTGATATCTTTTGCTAAACTCATTTGAAAATTAAAATTGACATGATGTGAGAGCATCAAATTGATTTGTTGTTCAGATTCTTCTAAGAAAGAAAAATGTGACAACATGTCACCAAAATTTAAAGTTTAGAATACAGAATAACATTTTGTAGATCATCAATGAAAGAGGAAAGGAGAAAATGTGCAATTTTAGTGCGGCAGGCAATTACAGGTAGTTTATTTATATTGATCTAATCTGAAAACAAGTTTGTCTGGACTATTATGTTCCTGCAATATACCTCTTGAGGACATTGTCTGATAAATGGAATTGCTTCCCGTCACGAACCCCGCTTTCTAAATTTATAATCTCATTTATTTGACATCTACAAAAGAGCTTGTAACAAAATGCAGCCGCGGGGTCTTATTTATGGACTTGACTGACTTGATTGTATGCCAGTTAGGTTTGTAAGATGTGCAGAGTGCATGTCAGTCTAGAGGTGTGTCTACGGCAATGTCAGAGAGAGAGAGAAAGAGAAGTGTTAAGACTAGTTTTGTCATATCATCTTTGTTAAAGTTATGCTCATCTTTGAGTGCCTCACTTTTACTGACTTTCCTTCCTCAGTTGTTTTTGTGGTTCTCTCTCTCTTTCTCTCTCCCCCCCCCCTCCCCCCTTACAAATGGCCCTCTCAGCTGCCCCAGGGTAATGGCAGCAATGCCCTATACCTGCTGGTGTTGCTGCCAGGTCTTCTTCCCTGTCTTCGTCACATGCCTTTCAGTCTGGTAGGGATGGTTAGACTTGGTTTGATGGATGATATCAGAGACCCTTCCCCACCAAAACAAAAAAAAAAAAAAAAAAAAAANAAAAAAAAAGTATTTCGTAGATGGAGTATTCAAAATGTCAGAGCAGGTGTCAAGGACAGAGAAGTTGCAGTCTAATCTTCGTCTAGCCATGGTTGGAGAGCCAACACGGATTTTTAACCTGTTGGTGGTATTTCTATTTCTACTCCTTTGCTCTTTCATCCTGAGATTGTTGTCGGTCTGGGAGGGATTATTTGGAGGCTTGTGGTGGTATCTGAGCCAAAGGTGTGAAAATGTTTTTCTTTCTGCGTTATTCAGATGGTTTTGTGTATCTTTTTTATTTTTAGTGTTTTTTTTACTACATTTTATCAGATGGAAAAGTTGGATAGTGTATTCTCTGATGCTAGTAAGATATACAAGTGATAATATCTATCATAACATGAAATATATTTACTAGTTAATGATTTGAAATTTTATTCCACAAACAAAATTGAATTATAGCAATTTTAACAAGTGCTAAATAGCCTTCATCTTCCACATCCCCCCTCCCCCCTCCTCCTATACACTGTGATGTATTACAGAGATTCATTAAAGCAAAAGCTGTTAACTGAATTTTATCCCAAAGTTTGCTGAACTCCAAACAAGGTTTTGAGATGTTTTGGATAGAAAACAAAACTAACTGAGATCAGCACCTCTTCAACAGTGATTTGGGGATACGGTTTCACCTGAACATTAAATCTTCATGACAAGTTTATTTTTCTTGGCCAAATTTATCCTTGAATTATTTTAATTAGCTTCTCTTATTGTCAAATTATGCAGCCATAAAGTTGCTCATGCCAAATTTTGGTGGCTTTGATTATTTTGATAGTCTTTTTTTCACTAAACTGATCAACAGTAGTTAGATGGTAAAGCAAAGGAGAGGAATCTCTGGTTATTTTAACAGTTTTTTCTTCCTTTTTTTGTCCCTATAACAAGGTAATAATAGAATGTTGAAGCCAAGTTTAGGACACCTATTAAGTGTAATTATAGAAATAAGAGTAAACAAGATTCTCCAAACACGGGGCTTTTGTTTGTACAGCCAACCACTGATGAATATGGCAAGTTTACATGCCAGGGTTGATTGCAGTATTTGAGTAAAATCAAATTTACACTATGGAAAATCTGGTCAGCTCTAGGTGCGTGTTTGGTGCACACCAGTCTAAAGATGTTGGAATGTTATGATTGCTCCAGATGGCATAGTGTAAACACACCAATAAAGGTTGATTTCAATATCTGCCTATATTCCAGTGATAGTAAGTGAATGATTGACTCATTTATTTCCTTTGATCTAACCACAGTTTCCTCCAATGGATTATGTCAAGTGATATTTCCTTTTGTCCGTGATCAGTTTTTGTGGGAGAGGTGTCTCCATCACTAAGCTTTTATTAATGGACGTTGTTAAGATGTGTCATAGTTAATAAGTGTTTATTTATCTTTAGGTGACATGTGGATTTTGAAGTGGAGCACCTTTGTCATATTTTGGATATCAGAAAAAGATTAAGATGTTGTTAATAATTGAGGATTTTATTATTCTAGGGAATTTTGTGCTGACCCAACTGTTGTACTATTTCAGGAGAATGTTTAATTATATCTAGCATGTTTTCTCGATGTATCTTTTAATTAAGATCTTTTAATTAAGACTGCTGTGTCCAACTTTTTAAGTTGATCTTGTCATCTCTTGATTGTCAACATATGAAAGGCAGTTTCTTTGCATTTAATTCATATTTAGTCACATTAAAAAGCTCATTTCCATTCCACCCCTTTGTATTATTTATCAGATGTGTACTTTTCATTTGATTCACCTGGTGCAAATGTTATAAGATAAATGTTGTTGTTGAGTGTCATGTCTAGCTCCCCCCCCCCCTCCCCCTCACCACCACCATCCCAATGTATATACATTAAAACTGTTTATCTACTCTATTCTTTTTGGCCTTGATCTGCACAGCTTGCTTATCACATTGCCTCACCTCTCACATTTCTTAATGAATGAAACTGATTTATGTGTTATGTGTTTTCATTCCCCTTAGAAATGATTCAAGAAGACTTGATATAATGCTGAAGGTGGGAAAGCTGTGGTCAGTTTGTGGCCAGTCTGTGGTCACCGTCAGGCTATGAATGGGCTTGCGTGACTGCAATGACCCCTGGAAATCGTGGACAGTCACCAAATCTCAGTATCAAATAAAACTACGTACTAATCATAACAATCAAAATGATAATAATATAATTAGCACAAAATAATGAAAACATTTATTTTACAAATGCTAAAATCTGAGCGTTTTGAGTTCAGTTTCAACAGGCCTCATACGACAAAAACAGATGAACGTGAACGGATGATTTTTTACTTTTCTCGAATTTGTGAAATGTTGTTGAAAAGGTGCAGTTTCTCTCAGTAAACATCTATCATTGATAAGAGCTTTGATCTTAA